TATTATTTTGAAGGAGGAGGATTCATGGACATAGGAATGGCTATAAATAATAAGAGATAGAAACTCTATGTTGATTTATTTGGATCTATTATTATAAGCTAATTAATAAAATAAGTGAGCTAGAATGACCTGAGTCATTTATTGCGTTCGATCCTTTTCCTAATAAACCAGTGTGCATGCAAAAAAAAAGCTTTCCACACCTTTCAAAACCCTGCTCGACTAAGAAATTTATTTTCAGAGAGCAGTGTTAGATATGGAGACAAATCATAGTAAAAGATACAAATATATAAAAAGCGAAGAAGAAAAAATCGCTAGAAAAAAGAAATTCTGCGATCATTGTTGAGAAGATCCAAAACGTTTAAATATAACAAGGAACTGATGGAAACATAATTTGGTGGAAGAAATATGTAGTAGATAGATGAAGAGAGTAGAACAATAACTATGCCATTTATGAGAACCGAATGAGGTGGCAGAGAACTGCAGGATCCTACGCCAGTACCGCTTTTTCATTGATTTTCAAAAGAACCATTTAATATATGTTAAAAATTATTGAGTGATTTAGAAAGATGAATGTACTCTCTAAATGTTTTAATTTAAGATATGTTTCGTTATTGTAGACCCTTTCGTTTACCCGTTATTTTAATTACAAATGACCCTTGATTTTCAACTTCAGTTTGAACGACTTGAAAATATTGACCTTATTGGTATGTTTTACTGCCATAGGCTTTTTTTTTGTTTAATGTTTTATTATTCTCTGACAATCCAGATTTAATAAAAGACCAATTATGATGAAATTAAGCCAACTGCTGAATCTCAGTGACCGAAAAACTAACTCAAGTGAAAGTCGCCCATCCGCCGAGTTTGGACGTCATTTTAGTGCAGTGCAGCTAGTTTGTGGGAGCATTGGCTACTTTTAATATATAGTTACGAGAACAGGATTTTTTTTCTTGTTCTTCCCTACCTCATCTTTTAGCCTATACGAGATTTTAACCGGTCGGAGGGTGAGAACGGGGAATTTAAAATTCTTTCCGTCACCGGGACACAAATCCATACTTTTTAATCTCAGGAATTCGGTTATCTGGTTAGCGAGCAACTCGCGGTGACTATTTGATTTACTTGAGGGGTGATCATCTCTGTGCAGATAAAATTTCCTAAGTAAAATCCGTAGCTGAACGCCAAGCACTTATTACATAGTCCGGTAGCCCGTGGCAAAAAAGGTATCATAATTCATACTAAGCTTTGTCCTTATAAATTTATCATATCCACAGGTCTGATGAGAAAAATCACAAAATAATTTCACATCTAAATTTGCCTGTAACTTTTCCTTACCGTCAGCCATTAGCATAATGTCGTCAATAAATGCAAACGATGAACAGTTGATTGGTTGCAATTTCAAATATCCAAGTGGGACACCTTGGTTTTCCTCTTAGATTCATTAATAACGTCTTATAGAATTATTTAATTCTCTGTATAAGAGCCTCTGACACTTGTTTATTCTGGAGTGAAGCCCATAAATCATTCGAAGGTATTCTATCGAATGCCTTCTCTTAGTCTATAAAGCACAGGTAAACCTCTTTATCGAACTCGATGAATTTCTCACATATTTGGCGTAGCGCAAAGATGTGATCTTGAGTACTGCCTGGCATTCCTTAAAGAAAATGTCCTTACATTTCAACAAAACATATGACTAATAATAAAAGAACCTTGGTACACGGCTAACCACACCAATGCTCAACTCCATATGTCCAAATGGGCCTAATGATAGTAGTATATTTGATTTGTTTGTAAAATATTGGATGTTTAGAGCGTTTATTGTCCAGTTAGTGTTGTAGTAGTCGGAATTTGTTAGCATTTTCTTTTCTCTTATAACTCTTGTAGACTCGGCTCGGTCTCGCATTTGGGCAGCACTAGTGAGAAGGGCAATCTTATCAATTTTTTTTTCAATCTAATTACATGACACTGTAGTACATGCAGTTTGTTAAGGAATGCTTATTATTAGGTGGAGCGATGGTTAATCTACAGCAGTTTGTCGAGTTTTTTTAGTCACATACACAGCTATTTTTAAATTATTTATTAGGAGGTTGTATGTCCTTATGCACTCTAGCTAGGGCCTAACTAGGACGAATTAGTCGTTGATTAATGTGGATAATTGTCAATACAATTTATAACTGCTATAGTTTTTTTAAATGACGTATGATATATAAAATATGTTAAATCAATGATATAAAGTATCACTTCCGGATTGCCGATTTTGACGTAATAGTTGCTGTAACATCCCTGGTATCAAATTCCCAATTTCACTTTTTTACGACTTTTAGTTTTTGAGTTGTTCACATACATACTCATACACACACACATACAGACACAGACACAAACACAGAGACCACTTTGTGGGGCTTGGTTATTTGGACTCATGGGACCTCAAAACGTATATTTCCGTTTTGAATATTTCTGAGAAAACTCAGATTCAAAATTTTTCAGGAACGCAATACTTGTTTTATAGATTACATGTATAGGTAAGTGGAAATAAAAAGCTCTTCGATTAGTAAACATAGTTAGGTTTCAGATTTTTTTTTATCAATCACTAACTTTAACCTTCCTGGACCGTACCATGTTCGGATATTGCTTTAGTTGATCAGTCAGTGTAATACTACTTTATTATTAAACCTACGATAGTTCCAATACAATAAAGATGACAAAATATTACAAAAAAACTTGTACCACTACAACCCATGAAGGGTCTTGGGTTCAGTACTATTTAGAAAAAGCACTGTTTCTTGATCTACAGTTGTGCAAGGAGGTAATTTGACCGAGATCACGCTCAACCGTCTGGTTTTTCCCCTTAATTAATTATTATAATTAAGGGTACCCACTTTATAGAGGATGGGTGTGCCCCAGGAGGTTCTACCTACCCAGGGTCGCCCCACGGCCAATGAAACAGAATAAATAATTTTTCTGTCGTGAGCCGGGATTGGAACCTGGGACCTTTAGCATGGGAATCTCAGTACCCTACCACTGAGCTACCCCACTCCTCTGTTAAAATATTACAACAGGGTCGAAACCCTTTGTTCCTTCCAACAAATTTTGAGATCCATTTTGCAGATAGACAGAATCCACTCTTGAATTAGAGTATAGAACATTTTTTTATTTTTTTTTATTTAGACATATAATATTCTGTCACGGGGATAATAATTATATTGATAAATGAACACAATCACACCGTATATACAAAAAAAAATTAACAAAAGTAAAATAATAACTAAATAATAATAAATAAAAACTATATACAATAAAAGAATAAAATAACCTAAATATAAGTAAATTAAAAACATAAAACGTCAGCCAAGTAAGATCACTATAGCTTCCTCACCGTTTCCGTTGTGTATTACAAGGTATACAATTTTTCGTATGAGAATAAAATCTCTGAGAGAAGCAGAATCGGAATAGCCGATTACAGTTATCCTTTAACATTCAACAAAAGAGAGTCATATTTGAAGATTCCATACTTGATTATGCATAATAAAAAAAAAAAAATGAATTCTGAACATGAATTTCGATACTGTTAGTAAAAGTAAAGGTCTTACCTAAAAATTTATTTATTGTTTTACAAGAGTGCATAAAAACTCATTATTTCTTTATGCTTTATTAGAATAATTTCATATTTTATTTTCATCTGCTATTTTCCATAGTAGCAGACTACAAGATGTCACCATTAATATCCATAGAATTAAAGTTGAAAATTTTTACATTCGAACTTTTGCTCTGATAATAGTGATATAAACTACCGGATCCAGATTTAATTTTGGGGGAGGGGCTTCAGCCCGAAATATTTTATATGTATATATATATATATATATAACGGTAATTAATTTTTAAAAAATCCACTGCAAATGGAAAAGTGGTGGACAGAATTCAATAAAATTGACACTACGTTATTTTTTCACCAAAGCCTACCTTTTATCTAACTTTGAGCCAAATCGAACGAGCCCTTTCTGAAATATTGGCATATCTAAAAATATACGTTTGCGCGTACGTAAGCGGAAGTGCTGGATAGAATTTGATAAAATTGTTATGGGACCATCTAGGCACCAATCAGCATAATCCCTGAAGATTTCATGAAGATAGGATGAACGGTACTATGTGATATGCCCGTCACATCGATTTGACTACAGACAGACAGACAGACAGACGGACAGACAGACACAAAACCAAATTTGATCCTTGATGTCTGAAACGTAAAACGCGAGTGAAAATTTTCGATTCTGAGCAAAAATTTTTTTTTAATCTCTCGCACGAACACAATGCTTCCCTACCTTCAGTAGTGAGGAAGCAAAATACAGTCATAGCTATATACAATATATACAAGGAGAATATATACATTAAATTAGCCATGTTAAAAATATTTCTATCTCGGAGGTAGGGGACGACATCCCTTTCATGTCATTTATTTATTAAATAATTTAGTTACTAAGAAACAAATTGAAATAGCTCAAAATTATAGAAAGTTGGCTCGCTGTACAAAGGAAACTACGGTGTTTTTTACTTCCGGTTTACAGGTTTAGTAGCTAAGGAACACATTTTATTAGCACAAAGTTTTAGAAAATTGGGTCTCCTGAACAGATACGAAAATCCATATGGAGTTTTTTTAGCTCCGGAGTACAGAGTTTTAACAGATTATAATTTTTATTTTAATTGTGAAATTAGGAGTGACCGACTATGCTGATGTTATATTCACGTAAAACTCAAGGTGAACTTAATCAGCTTTCGCCTTTTGGCATTCCCAACGAAATGTTCATAACAGCTGCTTACCAAAGGTTCAGGTGCAACATCTTATACAGAACTCTTGGAGAGATATTTTAATTATTTTATTTTTGTTTTCCTTGTACCATTTATTATTGATCTGGAGACCCAGTGGTACTATTGTGCTAAGCGTCCCCCACCATGGTCCGGTACCAAGGTATATATAGAACCCGGCTTAGGGCAAGTGACATTCAGAAATCATGAAGCGGTTCTCCAGCCAAATCTGTGCCATCGTACTTCTCTGTGGCCTTGGAGCTGAGGTAAACTTTTAATATCGATTACTTAACTATAGTTATAAATATTTATTAATCATTTCGTGGAATTTAGCATAAATAACACTCTAAATAATTGAATAAGAATAATATATGCTTGCTTTTAAAACGAAGTTTATTTTTTAAAAGTACGTTCTTCTCAATTTGTATTCTGTTTTGTTCTTAAATGGTTATTTCAAATGATAAGTACGCGACCACAGCATCTCATTAACTTTTAACATCTGAAATTTAAATCATCAAAAAAAAAAAAAATAAATAAAAGGAAGTAAGAAAGAAAGAAAACAGAAACAGACCTTATATAAACAAAATAGTTCTTTTCTCCTACGATATAGTATATCCTTTATATTCTGTATAAGTATATCCTGATTTTCTGAACGATTTACATAAGATAACAAAAATAGTTGTCCGTGGAAAATAAAATCTTATGTTAATTATTGTATTTAATCTATATATTATTATGTATTTATCAAAACCCCTTTTTAATCTTACAGCATTTTATTTTACATTAAAAACATTTTTATAAACATTTAAAAATTATTATTTAAAATTGGTTCCAAGAACTATTTTCAAAATTTTCCCTTTTAAAAACATTAGTTCTATAAAAAAATTATTTCTAATTTAAAAAATAAATGTATTGAATATATAATACTACTTAATAGTAGTAATTGTTTTATTAAACACAGAATATTCTATTTTATTTCCTTTTCCTCCAAAACTTCACAAATATTCGTTTCTTCGCCCCATTTTATCAAAACATTCATCCTTCAAATTAACTACTTATTTGTAATGTAATATTTTAAAATAAACTTTTACAAATCCAAAACACGATTTCATTTAACAATCTTTTGACATTTAACAACAGACTGTCAAGGTATTGTGCAGAGGATGCAGTTATGAGAATGCCTCGACAGAGAGTTGTTAAATTTAGGGGTAAGATGACTCAGTGTTGGTGGAAGATGAGTAGAAGGATGACCTTAATATAAGTGTCGGGCGGATCAGTACCCAAATCACTCTCGGTCTGCGGCGTACAGGATCAATCTTAACAATCCGCAGGGATGGTAACCACAAACGGAGGGATCAATCTGCAGACTTTGTGGGAGGATGTGATACTGACGGAGGGATCAATCTCCTGATTATGCATTCAGGAAAACAAGCGGACGGATCAGCATACAGACTTGTATGGAGAGAGAGAATAGGATAAAAGGTTTTTGGACATAGTGAAATATAAAGAAATATAAATTGATGAGAACAAAAAGATATGCTGTTCGTCGACGTTCTACCCCCCGAAGGGCGGAGACCCGTGGCTCTGCCAGGGAGTGAGCTCTTTGTCCCTTGTAGCAAGTGGCGGCCGAGAATCTGCCGCCACAAGACCTCAAAGCAAAAAACGTTTTCCTTATAGTCCATGATATAAATCCATATTTATCAAATTATTAACATTCGTCTGAAACTTCGTAAATAGCTTCATCACATCGTAGTCTGAACATATTTTATTTAATTCTCGGAATTGGAGTGTTTGCAATCTAGAGGCCAACAAACAAAAAGTTGGACCACAAAAATATTGGCTCGTATGGTCTATATAACCTCGTTATTTTGACTATTTGGGGTTATAGGTCACGCCAAATGGCTTAATATTTTTGAAGCCCATCTTTTTTCTCGATATTGTGATAAAATTATGTTAAGATCCAAGTGGAAAGCAAATGGATATTTACTAGTTTCTAGTACCTAATTAAATAGACAAAGGTTGCCGATTTCCAGATCGAAAACGGTCCAATTCCGAGAATTTTAGTAAATATAATATTTTTAGATTACGATGAGATGAAGCTATTTACGAATTTCCAGGCGGATGTTAATACTTTGATAAGAAGGGGTCTGTATCATGGACTTTTAATTTATTTCCTTTTTAATCACCTCCATATTGTATTCACTGAGCTGTAGTTTAGACTGATTTACTAACAATACTATGGCATCCTCTATTTTGCTTTATTTTTTTTCGGAGATTCAGGAATTCATTTTATCTATTTAACTTTTATAAAAGTTCTTCATAATTTGGCTAATGCATTTGCTAAATTTTCCGTAATAGTTATTGCCTCCAGAATTTTTCTTTTCAAATTATATATATTATAAATTCATTCAACTGCAATATGCTTATAAGTTGTTCCTTTTATTTCTTTTCCTGACAGCAAACGAAACCTTAGCGGAAAATGTTTTTCTTCTAAACCTAAATGGCAAATCAGTGGGATCATTTACAATGTGAAATATCAGTAGTATTAGTCCAACTGGTGATGATACAGTCATAATTATGGCTATTGCTGAATAATTTCAAAGAAATGTTACTTATAAAATTATGCAAGTAATGCTAGGGAGGTAGTTAGCCTGAGTTATAGAATTTAGGCAGAGGAAAAGTTGAAAAGAAAATTTTTTTTTACTTACGAAAATATTTATTTCTGTTTGTAAATATTTATTTTTTTTGTTTCTTTTCGATTGTTTTGACCTTATTCAGTCATTAAAATGAGTTGATGTTACGAGATGATAATATGTAGAGAGAAACACTTTATTTTCATAAAATATAAAGGATTGCTGCCCAATTATATCGGGTTGCTATATACACAGCATACTCTTCTACCCTTAGGACAATATATGAACTTATAGATAAATATACAGAAGTATTAGTTAATATTAGTTAAATATATATATATATATATATATATATATATATATTAAAATATTGACATAAGACTGTTGATTTATATAGGGAGAGGAGAAGATGTTAAAAAGACAACGTGCAGTATTGTTTTTCTTAATTACGGTACTAATAAAAAAAAACCTGTTTTGAATTTTAAAATGAAAATTTTGGCAAAAAAAATTACGATACGCAAATTTTCTTAAAATTAAAGGATCGAAAGCATAATACTTATAGATTAATAGACAATTATTACTTCCTCAAACGATGAAAAACATCTTATGGTGATTTGAAGGAATCTGAGTAACAACATAAAGTATGCAGAGTTGAAAAATCTTGTATTTTCGTTTTGACCTGTATTTTGGTCATAGAAAAGAAGAGGTGTCTATTTCTCTAAGGTCGATGGTGCTCCCAAATATGGTGAAACTAATACTTAAAACAATTTTAAAATAATGTTAATCCACTTTTTGCAGTTTTTAACTCACCGTTCCAATCCCTCAGTATTAACTCAAACTAAAATGGAAGCTCTGGTATCCACGATTTTTTTTTGTAATGTGCACTTTTAGTAGTGTAGCTCAAATGCAAGACCAAGACGAGTCTTAGCACTCAGTCTCGGTCAAGGTCTTGATCACGCGCAAGAGTTTCCCAACAGTCTTGCAGGCATCTATTATCTTACTTATTAAACATGTTATTTTAGATCTTAGAAAAACGCTACAGAATAGGCACATTTAGACGTTTTATTGGCATAAACATAGTAAAGTGCAACCAAATTAATTCGATAGTACATTAAAGGCATTGTCAAGAAATATAGTGATTGTCCCACACCTAGGAACAGAAGAGTTATACAATACCACCGATCTGTGGTACTCACATGACTTTCCGACCAATTTTAAATATGGTCATTAAAGTGACCCAATTGAATTAGACTAATTTTCTTGATCCAGTCTTGCAACAATCAGGTGGTCTTGGTCTTGCAAAGTGAAATTGTGCAATATTGGGTAACACTATGTACTTTTATGTATCCTGTGAACGTACAAAGGAAATCATTTACCAGATTAAAATTTATCATACATTTTTTTCTAAAAGGTTTTTTAAATATTGTTATTGTTTTATGTAAGCTAATACAGCATAGTAATTTATAATTGATTGATTTGCAATACGTTCTTATCCAATACAATGAAATTTTCTTCTTAATTAATATAATACAATAATAATATATAAATGTAAGATAAATATTTTATACTTCAGCACAAAAAAAACTCAATACCATATTGAAATAAAATACATGAGGCTGTTGCAGTCGTTTGGTCACTTGTACCTAAATCCACAATATTTTACTACAATTATCTGCTTTAGTTATAACGGGGTTTAAAAAGTAGGGGCGTGACTAAAAGAAGGTATATATATTATTCAATATACATATATACTATATTATCCTGCGTGTGAATTTTTAAATGTAGGAAATATTTAGGTCTGAATGTATTCTGTCATTTATTTGTGATATGGATAATTATTGACAACTGTCCAATAGGAGTTTTTTAAACTTGTAATTTTTTTATGTAACACGAGTTAGTGAAACTCCAAGTGTTATTAAATTAAGGAAAATTTAAGATAGGTCTTCGAAATGACTTTTTGTGTGTTTTTGTTGGAATTGTTATTTATATTTTTTTAAATCGTTGATTTGGATTTAAATGATTAAAATCTCGGAATATAAAAGTTGTATTTTCCTGAGCTTTAAACGGAAAAAAAATTCGTTTTAAAATTTTTTTCAGTATCATTGGAATTTTTACTGTCGGCAGTTTTTCAGTTCTTTTGGATTTAGAAATGTTTTCCTTGCGGCTTTTCCAGTAAAGGTTTTAAAGAACTTTTGTATCTAAAAAGCTTTTATTTAAATGTTTTGTCGATTTCGCTAAAAAGTCCAAAAAAAAAAAACTTTTATTCATAGCTACTAAAACAAACGACATTAGAATCATGTGTAATTCAGATAAGTCAATTATAACTCTAATCTAAGCCCAATTACAGTTAATTTTTAATTTTTTAAGCACTTGAATAAATAAAAGTTAAACTTTTACCATATATCTGGAACATTATTACAAAAAAGTTTCTTAGAACTTTTATTTTAAGAACGTTTTTTCCGAAACATTTCACAGAAGCTATTTAAATTAAATTTTTTTCCTAAAACGTTTCACAGAAAATGTTCAAATGGAACTTTTTAACAAAAAACATTTCAACCCCTTGTATTTTCCCCATTAAGTGGATTATTGAAGACATCAAAGTGGAATGTGGGTGCATTTAATAACCGTTTCGG